CAGACTCTTAACCTGGGGGGAGGGGGAGATGGAGGAACTATCAATAGTAACTTGGAAACTGTCGGTTTTGGTAAGAGCTGATTTGGTGCCAATGAGGAGAACCTCGGTTTTACTACTGTTTAATTGAAGGAAGTTGTTGGTGAACCAGGCTTTTAATTCACAAATGCAATTTGTGAGGGAGGCGGACGGAAGAGAGGACGATGGTTGCGTGGTGAGGTCGAGCTGGGTGTCATCGGCATAGCAATGGAAGTGGATGTTAAATTTGCGGAAGATATTGCCAAGGGGAAGGAGGTAGATGATGAAGAGCAGGGGCCCCAGAACAGAGCCCTGGGGCACACCTGAGGTGAGGGGGGGACGGGGTGGATTTGAGGGTCTTCAGTTGAATGAACTGAGTGCGGTCAGAAAATAGGAAATAAACCAGTCCAACGGAGTGCTAGTGATGCCAATGGAAGAAAGCCTACTGAGGAGGGTGGTGTGACAGATGGGGTCGAAGGCTGCGGTCAGGTCGAGGAGGATGAGGATGGTGAGTAGTCCAGAAGCAGATGCCATGAGGAGGTCATTGGTGATTTTGATGAGTGCTGTTTCAGTGCTATGGAGTAGCCGGAAACCAGACTGAAATTCTTCGTACAGGCTGTTGGCAGATAGGTGAGAATGGAGCTGGGAGGCAACTGTTTTTTCAAGAATTTTGGAGATGAAGGGTAAATTGGAGATAGGACGGAGGTTGTTGAAGTTGGTGGGGTCGGCGCCAGGTTTTTTTCACAATCGGGGTGATGGCAGCAGTTTTGAGAGGTGTAGGGACAGTTCCAGTGGTGAGGGAGGAGTGGATGATAGCGGAGATGAGGGGAGCCAGAGAGGGAAGGCAGGTTTTGACAAATTGTGTTGGGAGGGGGTCCAGTTGACAGGTGGATGATTTGGATTTCCGGATGAGCTCTGTGATTTCCGAGACAGTGGGAGGATGGAAGGAGGAGAATAAATGTGTAGGCGGGGGGAGATCTGCTGATTTGCTGAGATGAGCCCTTGATCCGAGGCAGGATGAGTGGATACTTTAAATAAGGGTGGAGGGATCAATGTTCTTTATGTTCCGGAAGGATATGAGGCGGGATGTTTTAGAGACTGAGAGAGTAAGATTAACTGCAAATGAGAGGAGAAAATGGTCACTTATAGGGAGTTCATCAGATGTTATGATGTGGGGGATGATGCCAGAGCAGCAGATTAAATCCAGAATATGTCCTTTGGTGTGTGTGGGGGTAGTGGTGTATTGCTGACATCCAAAACTCTCTAGGCAGGAAGTAAAGTCTTTGGTGAGAGGCGAATTGGTGTTGTCCATGTGGATATTGAAATCACCCAGCAGAATTAAGTTTGGTGAGAGAGAGGATAGGTGGGTGAGAAAATCAGCAAACTCAGTTAAAAAGGCACTATTCTGTTTTGGGGGGGCGGTAGACAGCAGCAATGATGGTTGGAGTTGGACCAGATAGCTTGCAGACTGTGGATTCAAACATGCTTGAAACTGGAGCTGATACCGGCGAGACTTTCCAATTCTCACGGTGAATTATCGCGAGACCTCCTCCGAGACCGGGACCACGGGGTTGAGAAATGTAAACAAACCCACTAGGAGTGGAATCGTTCAGCTGAGAGTAATCTTGGGGCTGTTGCCAGGTCTCGGTTAAACAGAGAAAGTCCAGTTTACGGTCAGTGATGAGATCCTGAGTGAGATGTCCCTTGCTTGTCAGTGAATGGATGTTGAGCAGAACAAAGTTGAGTGCGTTGTTGTCGTAGCTGGTGGTGGAGCTAGCCGACCGAGCTAGGCGGGCTAATACACTGTGGTCGACAGCCCAGCTGGTGGAGCATGGAGAGTGACGAATCCACCGTCGGGAGCTGGACCAGATGGATTTTATTGCTGTTGAACCGATGCGGTGGACAATCCGATGGGACCCTCGGTGGATGTATCTCCGACGTGGCTGGAAGGTGATGTCCGGGTGAAGGTGGAGTGCCTCGGGCGCAGGTCCAAAGGAGTGACAGTGGAGCCGGAGCAGGTCAGCGGGTGAATACTGCAGCAAACCCGCCACTTGCAGGTGAGCGGGCAGTAGGAATATCCAGACACAGACAAGCAGGTTATATGTCCTGCCGGTCCACATTATTAAAAACGCCAGGTGAGGCTGAAAACGGGGCAGGACAGGTGATCTACCGGTAGTAGCCTAGTTGGACTCACACAACCTGTAGTGCTGACGAATCGTGGTCGTATTCCCAGTAAAAACAATTGGACTGTCCGTTAGAAAGTAAAAAAGTTTAACAGTTATCGGTGAGCGAAGGCAGCGAGCAACAAATACAAAATACTGTCGAGCAGCAGCAGCAAGTCGTGCCAGCGTTCACTCCCAGCGTTCGGTTAAATGGGATCTTATTACACACCCTGCAGTCAGAGCTCCCCATATTGAGGAGTCTCTGTTAAGGGACTTCTTTTATGGGGAGAGGGAAGATCTTTTCCCTTTCCTGCCACCTCCATCAGCTCCTAGCCAGCCAGATTCCCTAGCTCCAGAGCCCCTTAGTGGGCCAGATTCCCCAGCTCCAGTGCCTATTAGCGGTGCAGTTTCCCCAGCGCCTGAGCCCATTAGCAGGCCAGTTTCCCCAGCGCCTGAGCCCATTAGCGGGCCAGTTTCCCCAGCGCCTGAGCCCATTACCCGGCCAGTAAGCCAAGCTCCAGAGACCCCTGAGCCAGCTCTGTGCCGCCCAGAAATGACATTTATCCTTCCAACCAATGCATATACTTCAAAAAAAAAAAAAAATGTTGTCTATGTGAGCAAGAAGAGGAATGAACTGAACATATTTGTTGTTGTTGTAGTAAAACCCAAACATTTTTATCCTCAGTTCATAACTGGTTACTCTCTAAATCCTTAAGCATAAAACTTCTCAGGAAAAGAAACAAATTTAAAAATGAAATAAGTGTATTACTTTAAGAAAATGTCTTCCACAGATGCTAAAAGACTATGCTTTCTGTCCAAATATCATTCTTAATTACCCCTTACATCAGGGGTGCCCAACCAGTCAATCGCGATCTACCAGTCGATCACGGGCAGAGTTTCAGTCGATCTCGAGAAGTTTTACAATGTAGACCTATTTATGGCTATGACAAAAAAAAAAAGTTTGAAATAACACTAATCAAATCATTGATCACGAGAGGACAACATCTATTTTCATAATAATAAAATGAAATGTAAAAAGTAAGCTGGGAACCTTTTTTTTATGCATGCTGATTGCTGGGCATGGTTTTCCACGGTTGCTAGGTTGTTACCAGGGACGCTAAAGCGCGAAGAGGAATATGAAGAGATAATGAGATAATGACATCTATCACAACTGATGGGGCTCCATCTATGGTTGGGTGCACTGCTGGATTTGTTGCTCTGTTCAAGCTGTCTGAAACTTTCCCGTATTTTTGGAGCTACCACTGCATCATTCATCAACAACAGCTGTGCAGCAGTATTTTAAATATGAAGCATGTCATGGACGTGATGAAGATCGCTTGCTCTGATTGGGCCGGGAGTTTTCAGAGGCGTTTATTCCGTGCCCAGGTAGATCGACGTCAGGTGGCTGAGCCTTGGCAGATTCTTCCAAAGATTTTTGGAACTGTGTTGTTCTTCGATTCTATATAGAACAGACGAGGCCTGTAAACTTGTTCTGTATATTTATTTCCAAACTTCCACAGAACCTTTCAGTAGCAAGCTACATTCAGAACTGCCCTCTCGCACTAGCCTCCAACCCGTTACGCCACGCGCCCCATTGCATGCTGGGTATTGGAGTTCAAGAGCATTCCGGCTCATAACATCACAGGAACTTTTGCCCGAAATTAAAGAAACAGTCAACAACCCATTCTGCTGTATGTTACATCTTCACATCCACATAGTTTGTACTTAGTATTTTCTGATTTTTATCTGTTTTCCTGTTGAATTTTAATCCATCTGCCAGTTTCTCTGCCAATGCCAATGCCCAGTGAAGTTTATCATTCTGAAATAGTGGACTTCCCTACTCCTTCTTCCTGCTTTGAAGTGACCTTAGACTGACAGATTGTATTTGTCATTTTGTTTACACAAGTTTAAAACAAAAAGGAAAT